ACACACACACACACACAGAAACTTGTTTACCTGGGTTCTCTCAAATGCAAGGAAGGAGCTGGTTTGTGCAGATACTGAAGGGAACTGTTCGGACACATGGCAGTCCAACCCCACAGTGGGTGCTGTGAAATTCTGGGTATAGTTTTCTGAAACCCTTTTAACTTTACCCTGTTAATAACAGAGAATAACAACATTTTTGTGTTTATAACAGCAGGAACAATCCTTCTAGAAACATCCATTTTTTTTTCAGTACCTTTGTTAGCCTGATGATGGCGATGTAACCAGATTTCCCATGATACCAACGATTCAGATCCAAACAATCAGAGTACATCGATATGTAAACACCTTTAAATACACAGAAAATTTAAACTTAATATGTTTTCAGTCAAAAATAAACACTGTGAGGTTCAATTATTTGTAATAGGACTTCATAGACAACTATCATGGTGAAGTCATAACTCTGAAGTCGCTGTCTGTCACTCCCAGAGTAATACAACCACACCTAGGAAAATGAATGTCTCACACTTCCAAGAACACACCTCATTGAGCAACAGTCTGACTGAATTACCTTAGGTACTGCAGTAAACACTAAATTTCAACAAACCATAACGGTAACATTTATCAGTTTAGAATAAAATAAATCTAGTTACATAGTTAAAATGCAATAACATGCGTTTTCCTGCTTATGGTACGAGTAACTGAGTCAGTTTTGAAAAAGAAAAAAGAAAACTTCATAGAAAATGCTTGAAAAATAGTGACATACTCAAGAGCATGTTATAAGGCGAGGTAGACAGCCACAAACTAGTCTAAGAAGTCTGTTCCGTCTTGTACTTTTTAGACTTTTTTTAATTAGGAATGTCAAGTAACAAACATGTCGAGAATTACAACATTTATGAGAGAAAGGTCATGAAAAAAACCTATTGCACAACTGCAAGTCTGCACAGGATGTGCAGCAAAAAAAACAACAAAAAAAAACCACTGGCTGAGTCGATAACATGTGACACACTGAAGCTGTTGTTTTAAAGTGTCAAGCCGGTGCCATTTTCTCCTACAGTTCACTGCAAAACAGCTCCATAAAAACTGACTTTGACCAAAGTTTGCTCTTGATAACTGCTACTCTTTATCACAGTCCGTACTGGGCCCAGTGGGTGTCCCAGCAGCATTTTAAACTGGGAGTTTTAAGGCTAAACAGAGCTAACAAGAATACAACTCGCAGTGCAAAACAGAAAGAAATGCCACAGTCTTCCTTAAACACCAATATCCCGAAAACCTCATGTAATGTATAGTTTCTGTTTCACACATTCTTTCACTTTCATTTGTATACATTCAGGGCTTTAATTTGCTTTCACTTTCAAAACAAGGCAGCACTGGACAAACAACATGGACTATTCTTTAGCTTGATCTGCAAACATGAAGGACAACTTATATCTGGCCTTTAAGGTAAAATCCTGCTTATTAGTATTTTTATAGGTTTACAGCTAAGGAATTTATTAGAATAAGATTTTAACGTTGAGTTTTAACACATAGCTATCATATGATCTCAGACTCAGACTGAGGGAGGGAAGGACAGGGTGGAGGATAAAAAATACATGTATATATATATATACCTTTAGAAGGATCTCCCAGAGTTGTACATGTGCTATTTCCAGTGAGCACACCGGTTTCTCGGAGTGCGTTAGCCTTTAAAACAAAAAAAAAGGAGCACGGTATGAGGATTCGGTTGATTGTGTGCGTTTTCTCAGCTGTGTCTGTGACCTCCAGTCTGTACCTTGTTGACATCGTCAAAGAGCAAAAAGCCATAGGACTCCTCTAGATCCTCGTCTGAATACCCAGCGTCTCTCCTTTTTGCTCGGAAGGCATTGTACTGATACAAAACAAATTTTAAAAAAAGAAATAAGGAAATCAGAATAAAGGCTGTGCTTCATGTAAGAGCAGTTCCTGTTTCAGGCATGAGAAATTTTACCCTTGTGGGATTTCTTATGAGCTCAAAAGAGGGGAAATCTTCAATATTATATGTATAAAAGAGAAACAAAACCCACCGCATGTGTATAAGATACCATCTGGTGGGGTTTAACGACCACGTGTTATTTAAATGTGGTTATACTGGGGCTATATAAAAATCTACTTAAATGCTGGGGAAAGACTTAGACTAACCTTTTCTTCCAAAGTTGGATTCTTTACCAAAACAGCAGACTTGTATCTGAAACACTGCTTCGACTCATCATACAAGTATGCACGTTGAAGTGGAGCCAAGATACTGTTTTTAAAGATGTCAGAAGAGTCTGGCACAGGTATCAAGACACCTAAAGAAAGTGGACAGAATGCAAACATGAGCGCAGAATCCACGAGAGACTGGAAAATTACAGGCAACTGCGGATTGGATTTCAACCAAGGGGGAAAAAAAACTCTCCGAGCTGTTTCTCAATCCTGGAACAGGCTGTCCCCATTGGATATCCTTATCTACGCATTTATTTTCAGTTTTAACACATAACATTAGCAGGTGTCGAGTAAAGCAGGAGAAAAATCTCCCACCACACGACTTTTTTTTTTTTAAATCTTGAAGTGAAAGTCGTATAAGTGGTGCTGGTGGGGGAAAAGGGCTCATCACCTTTACTCGAGGCACCAGCATTCCCACTTTCCATTGCTTATGAAATCTGTCGGCCTCCCTTTTCCTTTCGCTGAAAACTGCTCTTCCCGGATTCAAACATCACAACTCGGTAATTAGATCCCATGTATCCCACGTCAGATAAACCTTTCAAAGTCACTCGAGCTCCTGTCGCCGCCGTTTCAATAGACATATTAACACGAAAACCAGGAAGTTAGAAAATAGCTGTTTGTCCACAGCACGTAGAAGCAAAAATTTCCACGTAGCTTCACGTTTATCGTTTCATAAACAACGCGTCTGTTTACTCATGAAAGCCCCTCAGTCCTCCACATGCCTCCTCGCGTGGGGACTCGGTGTTACTGTCGTCGGTTTCAAAAAGGAAACAGAAACCTATCGAGGCGAAGCATCCATCTTGAAAGTCTACAGCGAACTGTGTTCGCAAGGCAGCTGCTGAAGCAATGCTGAAGCTAGTTTGCGCCTGCGGCTCACTTCTCCTGTGTGTGTGCGTGTCCGTTTTTTCCTGTCCCTTTCCCTCCTCCTCGCGAAGAAATACTGATTTATAACAACAAACAAGCTAACACCGTGGGGTTATATTTGAACGCTAACTCGTTATCAACTGGTTTGATGGGTTATATGGCTGATTGAACACCGTAACACGGTTTAGATAAACTACGGGAGGTGCGGGGGGAGTTATGGAGATTAGTGCTAACACGTCTTTAGCACGTTCCCATGAAATTTGGTTTCCTGGAAAATCCTGTTTACCAAATGCACAGGCAAACTCACGGTAACTTAACTAATCGCTATAAAAACTAGTGGAAATGTGCAGCTGCCTGTTTAGTAAAGAAAAGAAAAGAAAATAACGGGGGGTCGTGTTCTGCATGAGTCTATTTAAAAGGTTTTCTCTGTATAGACTGCTATGTTATGGTGGGCAGCTTCGCCTATATCGCTATCAAAGGTTACAGCACCTAACTAATAACCTGGTTTGAGTACCTACTTCATTGTGATTTTTTTTTTTTTTTTTTTTTTTTTTACATGGAGTGGGACATTGCTCTAAGTCCATAGTTCACCCTTTGAGACACATGACAGCCTAGTTCCTCTGCACATCTGTTTGTTCCTCTCATTATGCTAAGAGCATGTGCAGTGCAAGTTAACACTGTGAGCTGAACAAAAACAAATATTTGATATGTTCCTTTATCTCGAAATAGCCTTTCTGCATACTGGACAAAGACACAGCTTCCTAGTTTGAAGAGTCAAGCCAGTGCAGACGTGCTTCGAACCTGCATTCTTTTTAATGGCCACCTGGGGTGATAGCTGTGGTTCCAAAAAGACTTAGACTATTCCAAATAACTTGGATCTCAGATGTCGGAACTCGGGAATGGCATCAATCCTGAGTTAGCGTATTCCAGAAAAAGTGAGAAAAAAAAACAGTATTTATTTTTCACAATAAATATGGCATAATACTTACTTATGGGCGACCGTGGCTCAGGGGGTTGGGAAGCGTATCTGTAACCGGAAGGTCGCCGGTTTGATCCCCGGGCTCTCTGTCCTGGTCGTTGTGTCCTTGGGCAAGACACTTTACCCTACCGCCTACTGGTGTTGGAGTCTGCCCCAGGGCAGCTGTGGCTACCCTGGGGCAGACTCCACCAGTGTGTGAATGCAAGAGTGAATGAATAGTGGCATTGTAAAGCACTTTGGGTGCCTTGAAAAGCGCTATATAAATCCATTATATTATTACTTTTTACTTAAAAACACTGCTGCACCTATCCATGGATAGAGCCTGGTTTTACAGTTTTGCTACTGTTTATGGCCCATGCTACCATGTTGGATTGTTAACGTCAATTTTCAAATTTTGGTTGGGAACTCAGAAATTCTGACTTCTCACATCTGACCAATCCAACATCTCCCTCTGTATAATCTGTAAATTTCTGAGCTTCTGTTCTGATATAGAATTAAAAAACAGTGTTAAACACTGATACGGCTTTACAGCTGTGTCTTCAGCCAACCTTTGGTTGCAGCAACACAACATGCCAGGTTGAAAAAATTGAGATATGCAGCACTGGCAGAAGTTGTGGCTTGTGACAGTGGATGCGACGCCAATCAAGTATGCATAGAGGCCTATCTGTGACTTCTTCCTCTTTGTGTTTAACGGCGGTTGGCAACCAACGTAAAGGAGCATTACCGCCTCCTACTGTTCCGGAGTATGGGTCAGACTTACAGCTTACAATCTGTATCCAAAAAAACAATACAAAACCAAAAAAAAAAAAAGACCCTACACTCTTTCATAAACACCTATATCCTTCAGAAACCCCACCAGTTCCCTCACCTGTGCCCTACTACCCTCCAACACACAGATTAAATTCCTCAATTCCCCGCTCCTTCAATCTATTCTGCAGAACTTTCCTCTCCACATCATAACCCTTGCACCGCAGTATTACATGCTCTACCGACTCCTCCTCCTGGCACACTCCACAAAGCCCTGTCTGATGTTCTCCCATCATCTGCCTCCAAACAATACCTTTTGCTTCAGATCCGCTGCTTTTAATTTCCATCTCAGTCCTAGTTAGTCAACGCTCCTTTTGCCAACCTATCCACCTTTTCATTTCCACTGATTCCTACATGAGCTGGCACCCAAAGAAACTGAATATTGCCACCACAACACCTTATTCTGCTTATAGTCTCCAGAATAGTGTACAGCATATCCTGCCTTGTCTTCGAACAAAATGATTGTAGACTTGAAAGAACAGCTGCCGAGTCAGAACACACTACCACCTGCCTGATTTTTGAACACTCTACCATTTCAATGCTACCAAAATTGCTACCATTTCAACCGTGTACACTGCCAGTCCATCCGGAGTGCGTCTGTTTATTTCAATATTTTTTGACGGAACTGCTATTCCAAACCCTGTAATTCCTGTATCTGGACTTTTAGCATCATCCGTGGACACATGAATACACTCAGGGTATTCATTCAAGCTGTGAAAATGAAATGCTGAAACAAGATCGACTCTTCCTTTCAATTTTCTCTTCAGATCCAGCAAGTACCAGTGCACAGGAGGGGTCTCCAGTAACCATGAAGGAACCACAGGGAACACTCCTGCAGGACATATTTTAAGTTCATACACTTGACACTCCTTAGCCCACTGATTCCCCACCTTTCCAAAATGATCCTTCTGACTTCTTCCATACTCCCAGAATTCCAAAAGTACCTCCTTTGTGGGATGTGCGTCACCATGACCACCAAGATGAACCCAGTAATTCACAGACACTTGCGTCCTCCTAAGATCTAGGGGCATTTCTCCCATCTCCACCTGTAGGGCACTGACTGGAGACGTTTTAAAAGCTCCACAGCACACTCCAAGGGCTTCCGATTGCAGAACATCCAAACGTCTCAACACAGAAGGAGCTGCTGAACACCCATAATCGAAGACCGATCTAATTAATGCCTGGTAAAGTCTTTTCAAAGCAGAAGAGCTCGCTCCCCAACCCCTCCCAGCTACACACCTCATAACATTAATAACTTTTTTGCATTTGGTTTCAATCTGGTTAATATGCTCCCTCCCTCCATATCAGTCTTGAATCAAACACAACACCTAAGTACTTAAAAGAGCTCACTTTCCCAATTACCTTGTCATACAGTTTCAATGTCAAAGTCTCACTCACTTTTCTTTTGGTAAAGAACATCATTTTTGTTTTTTCCACTGAAAACCTGAATCCCCAGTCAAATCCCCACTCAACCACCAACAGCCTCCTGAACCTTGCCCACTAGGTGCTCAATATTTCTTCCTTTTTTTCCATAACATACCATCATTAGCAAACAAAGACCTCCTAATTCCCTCAGGAACATCAGAAAAAACATCATTGATCATTATAACAAAAAGCAGGGGACTAATCGCACTGCCCTGTGGCGTTCCATTCTCAACCGTGCACTGACTAGAAATTGTAGACCCAATTCGCACTTGGATCTTCGTACCAGATAAAAAGTCTTGGATCCAATTGAATGTCCTGCCACCAATACCCAACTTATGCAACTTGATTAAAAGCCCATCCCTCCACAACATATCATATGCCTTTTCTATGTCAAAAACACTGCCAAAACAGACTCTTTATTGGCCTGCGCTTTCCTAACAACATTCCCAAGTCTAATAATAGCATCAGTTGTGTTCCGAGCTGTCCTGAAACCACTTTGGTAATTGGCTAAAGCCCCTTTTCTTTCCAGCTCAAAGGACAGTCTTGCATTATCATACGTTCCATTAACTTGCACACATTTGATGTAAGAGCGATTGGTCTGTAGCTATCTGGTTTAGATGGATCCTTCCCAGGTTTTCTTATTGGCACAATAACAGCCTCCTTCCAAGTACTTGGGAGCTCACCCTTAATCCAAACTGTGTTAACCAAACACAGCAGTTTATTAAGCGCTTTCGTACCAAGGTTCTTCAACATTAAATAACAAATTTGATCCTTTCCCGGGGCTGTGGGCTTCGTTTTTTGAAGTGCTCTCACCATTTCCTCCCGAGAAAACACTGCATCCAAACTACTGTCTATGTGTGCCTTTCTTACTAAATCCTCCAAATACCGTGTTTTAGTTTGGCACATTCTGTCTTTTCCCAACACTGATATGTTATCAGAGCTATGAATCTTAGCAAAAGTTTTCACCATAACCTCCACTTTTTCCTGAGCTGTTACAAAGTTCTGTTGGCCTGAAGATAGAACTGGGTAATCCCATTCCTGCCGGTCACCTCCCATTCTTCTGACCATGCCCCAGACCTCCCCCACTGGAGTGGTTCTTCCTATTTTAGAACAGAACAACCTCCAACTGCTCCGCTTTGCTTGTCTCACTGTTCTTCTGACCACTGCCACTGCTTTTCTGTATGCAATCAGAGCTTGTTAAGGTTTCTTTGGAGAAATTTAAACGCCTTGTTTCTTTCCTTTACAGCAATTCGACATTCCTCTGTCCACCATGGCACCAAAGTCCTACTTTCCTTACCTTTACTGGTTGGGATTGAGGCCTTGGCGGCTACCATAAGTACTTCAATAAACTGATCATTCATTTGATCAACGCTACCAGACTCATCAACCTTGTCAATCGTTTCCTCACATAATTTTTGAAATTTTGTCCAGTCAGCTCTATGAAAACTCCACTTCTTATGCACCTCTCTTAGAGATACCTGTATCTTCCCTCCAACATCACAGAAAGCAGGATAATGGTCACTGCCTATGGTAGTGTCTGTTCTGATGGTCCACTGACTTATTCCTGCAAGGACAGTTGAGACTAGAGTTAAATCCAAAACTGACTGTGTTCCATTAACAACATTACATCTGGTCCCCCTACCATCATTCAGGCACACCAAATTGCATGTATCCATCAATTCCTCAATTACCTTACCATTTTTATCTGTGTGTGTGCCTTCCCATACTCTGCTATGGGCATTAAAATCCCCACACCAAATAACTCTACGACAGTCACTTCCTTCAATTGAACGAAGCTCCAATCTGGCGCAAGGATTGTAGAAATTCACAATAAGATTTGGTTCATTCCTGTCCCAAACGTCAATAGCAACATACTCCAAATCATTGCCTTTACCCAGGAGTCTATATGGAATGTCTTGTTTGACAAACGTTGCACACCCCCCCCCCTCCACCACGGTCCCTGTCATTTCTTATTATCTTGTAACCATACAACACAAAATCCAAAGAAGATTTAAGCCAAGATTCCTGTACACAAATGACATCTGGTTTAACATCAAGTAGTTTGATGAAATGCTTCAACTCTTGGCCATTGACCTACAGACTCCTTGCATTCCATTGAAGAATAAGTACCACGATTACGTAAAAGAACATCATGTTTCCTGACTTGACTGATAATTGAGGTTGTTCCTCACTTCTTCCCATGTCAGTCCTACTAACCCCAAGTGGTTAATTGCCGCCTTAACAATGAGCTGAATTTTCTCCTGCTTAGATCTCACATCAGCTGTGGTGTTTATCACTCCTGCAATGAATGTAACCAATGCCATCTTATCAATAACCACACTATTTGTGTTGATCCGGGTAACTCTTTGATCCCGAGATGCACCCTGTCCTGGGTTGACGTTGACCTGTTCACTCGCTCTCATCACCCTCACTGCTTCAGCATAGGAGATCTTCTTCTCCACCCTCACTTTTTGAATATGATTTTCTTGTTTCATTCTCTCACATCCAGCATACGCAACACTGTGACTCCCACCACAACTACAACACTTTGGTTGAACTCCATCTCCACATTTCCCATATTTGTGATCTCCACCACACTGAGCACATCTCCTCTTTTCCTTACAGTTTTTCGCTAGGTCTCCAAACCTTTGACAGTTAAAGCACCTCAGAGGTTTTAGGCATTGCTCCAACCAATTTTGCCAGCAGACGTCACTGCCATCCGTCCTCTCTCCTTGATCCACCTCCCCTACCAACAAAACACCCTCCAGCCCTCACAGTATCACAAGCTTTCAAAATCAATCTCACCTCCGCTCTTGCGACAACATTTCACCCACTCTATCTGTGACTTTCTGGCAGCACCCACTCATGAGGGAAGAATGAGTATTTCCCAACTGGCTGGAAGAAATCCTCCTTGTTAGCATATTGCTGTTGTCCCAGTTTGCATGGGAGTAACAGACGTGTCTACAGACACGTTGCAAACCAGTTGTGCCTTTTGAAACAAACTGGTGGCAGCACTGAGGAACAGCTTTTACTCTGAAGGTGAACCTTTTACATTTCTGGTTTGCGTTAAACTTTTCCACGTTTTACTATCACTGGACTAGTAGTTTTCGGGGTTTTTTTCTCTTCCAAATATTTGTAGTACATGAAAAACTAATGGCAACCACGGTTATGTTACTCTCTCATTTTGGGTTGTACTGTATAAAACATGAATAATTTTGCCATTTGAAGTGCTAGAAAGTATATTGTCCAAAATATTGTCATGAGCTAATGATTTGTGATTGACAAGTCATTAGCCAATGCAATTTCAGTCTGATGTGCCCTTCTTCATAACATAGGGTTTCAAAACAACAAAATGGCAAAAATGCTCATCAAAAGGCTTCAAAACAAGACTTCACTAACCAGTTTGCAGCTGCAGAAGTAGCTGTCTTTTATATTGCCTATGATCAACATATAAGCAAAGACTGATCTGAGCTGCTAGCCAATATAATAACCAGACTATAAAATAAGTGTGTAAATGGGTTTTTACACAGAAAGCAATTTGGTTGCCATGTATCACTTTGTCACAGAGGCTTCATTGCTAGTGAGCATTCAAGACTTTGGTTGCCTAGCCCTCTATTTTATTTACCACCGTGTCATATGACAACCTACATAGTATAACATTAGACCCTAGAAGTAGGCAGATGTTGCAAAAGCTTCATTGTTAGATATTGAATATAAAAAGCAGAGAAGCTGTATTAACCAGATGGAAACTTCCAAGGCTAAAATATGAAGCTAATGTTAAAATGGCCAAAGCTACAGTTCTTTTTGACCACTAGCTTGCTAGCTTCTCATACTTACAGAATCTCTACTGTAGTGCTGACATTATTACAGAAATACCTCTTTACAGCCTGATACAAGCACAGTTTTGGTCTCTGTACCTCATTTTCCCATATTGAAAATGTGAATTTTTGGTGATTCTTGATCTTGGGTTTAGAGTTTCTAGTCAAGCTACTGTTGACTGCAAATGTTTAAATGTTTAAAAAGAAAGTCTTTAAGAATAATCTTCCCCCACGTTGCAACATTTGTGATTCAAGGGTTCTACAGGAAATAAACAGTCATATTTACTTCCTCTCTTGTGTTGATTTATTTTTTGTGTTCTGCTTGTCTTCTTAGACATGATAAATGGCTTGAAAGCGGCCAGCAAATGCAGAGCTATGGCTAGTGCTGTGCAGAAAAGCATCTATGCACGTTTTTCCAGGTAAGTAACCATGACGGAATCTACATGCTACAAGGAACAAACAGAAACTTCATGATGAACCCAGCCCGTGAGTGGATAGGAGAATGACACAATTGGAGAGGCTATGCCTTTGTTATGACTGTCACTTGTACCTTGTTTAGCTAAGCTAATTGTGGAATGACAAATAAAGAAATGCTTGAAACACAGTATAAAAGCTGACCTCCAAGATCAAGATGCACTGGTGTCTGATTACAGCACTCTGTAAAGGTAAGTGGCTTCTATAGAAGAAGCCTCGGAAACCATAACTTTGGAAAAACAGACCGTAACAAAGTCAAAAGATATTAAATATATATTGACAAATAACAATGCTTCTAGAAGAAAATTGTTTGGATAGATGAAACAAAATGAGAATCTTTTGATAAGTGAAATTACGTTTTTGCTCACAGAAAATAATAAAGTAAAAATAAATGCACAGCATGGAGATGAAGAAAAGAAGAGTGATATCAGATGTGTATCAGCTCGTTCTGAAGAAAGACATGCAGTGTCATAATCACAGGACATGGTTGCACAAACAGGATAATGACATGCATCTAAAAACAGACATGAAATAAGCAGAATCTCACAGGCATTTGGCAAATGTGATCCATTAAGCCTGAGAGGAGGTGACAAGTGTTCTGAAGAAGACTCACACGATGGTGAGAAGTGTACATGTCTGATAAACGGCTTCAAAACACACTGCTGTGTGGTCGCTGATTGATGCTTATGGTTTGCTTGTTTAAGGAACAACAAGCGCTGACAAACATACACTGCCACAATGTGTGTGTGTGCTCATGGTCTTAAAGAAGACAAGAACTGGAGGCCTTGTCATTGCAAGCTGATATAACGTTGCTTCTCCGTCACATCATCATTCATGTTGGTTGGTGAATGATTGCAGTGGTGTAGCATTGTCTGGCAATGGTAAACACAAACACTGATAGCTAATTTGTAATTCCATTTATATTACAATAGAAGCTCTGCCGTTAGATATAAAGTGCAAGTATGAGAAGCTAGCAAGCGTGCTCACTTCAGCAAAAATCTTTCCAACACAGTTCACCTGGAGTCAGATCTTTTATTTCTTCAAATTTTGTTGATAATTTTTGTTTAACCTTGAATGCTTAAGGCCAAAAATCTTACATGTTGCACCTTGACTACAACCTCCTGTGTAAAAGATTTGCAAGGCTTAGTTGTTAATGCTCAACCCAGCAGCCTACAGCAAACAAGGACACGCAGAAGGTTGGTGTGACAGAAGACGATGCTGGGGATCCGATAGGATCGAGAGAGATGAAAGCTGAAAGAGGAAGTTTAATTTTTAATGCTTCATGAAGGTGTCTCCAGAAAAACAAACAAACAAACAAAAAAACTAAAATCTAAAAACATTGGTTAAATGACTTTTCCCTTTCTATTGAGGGGAAGTGGTAACTGGGTGGCTAATGGTTAGTCCTGTGGCCATACAAATAGCTACCAGAATGAACTCACCAATAACCACTGTTACCATGGATCATGAAATATAGGGTGGAATCCATCCCACAGTTAACCTGTTTACTTAACCTTATCTAACCTAGGAGTTGCAATTGAAATATAAAATAGCACTTAAGTGACATCATGAGTTAATGTGTCATGCTAGCTAAAGCTCACCAAGCTAGCTCTAAACAGGCACATGCCATAACCAAATGAATAAAAAACAGTTCTTTACATACCACATTATTGACAGCGATGTAAACCTTTTTTATTTGCTGGTTAAAGTCATTAGATAAAGTAGAGAAACTGAAAAAGGAAGCTAACATGGAAGTGTGAAAAACTGGGGTTGACTCCAGAAGTGATGCGATTCAAGCTATGTTAATACACCAATTTTTAAAGGATTACAAAACATGTTTACACTTTAGTACAAAAAACAATTTACACATTTTTATAAGTCATCCAACAGGATAATGGATTGACAGGTGTCATGTTATGATGTAAACAGATATTAGTCTCGTGTTTGTAAACTGTTTCTTACTTTTAAGAAACCCCTGATTAGACACAGTGTCAGCCAAAAGTTTCCTGGATGAGGAACCGAGGCAGAACAGTACACTGTATATTAACAATTTGTGCATTAGACACAGTTCAATAAATTGCATTTTTTGGGATACAGTGTGTGGAGAGATATTTGCAGACAGTGACACTAAGATGACAAACATCTGAAATATGGGAAAGTCTGGTGGTTCCTGATTGCATTATTGCTTTTGTGCTCAGCCGGTGTTGTGCCAAAAAGTGATTTCCAATGTTTCCGTGTTTTGTTTTGTTTTAAATCTTTGCTTATCGGCTGTAGTCAACAGGAGTTGTGAAGGGGTTGTATAAAAAAAGAAGGTAAAGGAATTATATGTTTTTTGTTCTCTGTGTTCTACATTATAGTCAGTCAAAAGCTACAATCAAAAAAAATGATTGCAGCTTCTACAATGTGTCAGGAATGTTCTTTCTGGCTCAAAATGACTCATAAGACTCATAAGTATCTCATAAGATACATTTGACACAATATAGATCAACATTTTAAATATTTACGGATTCTTTGTTTTTTGTTTTGTTTTTTGGCAAAAACCAGAATACACTTTCTATCACGACACTGGGATTTGGTCTACATCTTTGGTGGACTTTTTCATGTTGCATCACAAGTAGCAACTTCTGCTTCCAGAAATGAAAAATACCAAGGCTTCAAAATAGGTCCAAAACCCATTGCTCTGTCCGTCTTTTATATACAGTCTATGCTTTGAATCCACAAAATGGATTTTAAAAATGTGCTACACAAATAAATACATATGCCCTATTATTCTGCATTACTAAAGAACCACAACATATACAATATATATTTATATTTATATATACATATATAAATGTGTGTGTGTGTGTCCTTTATTATTTTCATTTATCTGTAATAATCATAACCCTTCGCCTACATATCCCAGAATTCCCCGGCGTTGTTTATTTAGGCGAAACCTCAGCTGCTCAGACTCTGCACAGGGTTGCACGGTGTGTGTGGTAGTATTCGTAGTAATGCGGTCCTTTCGATTTTTGTTGCTTTGCTTCAAAATGAAAACCATGCTCGGCTAAATCTGCGTTGCTGAGAGAGACAAAAACAGGAACATGAAATGGAGATCACACGGGCCAGACCGTCCTTGTATGGAGAAATCGGTAAGTAGCTTAGAGTTGGTGACTAACAGTAACCGAGACAGCCGTTTCAATAAGGAGTCTGGCGGTTATTATCCCGATGATGCCTGCAGATCCTAGATTTATTAGCTTTTCATTGCCTGCCTTTCATCTTTCTTTGACGATGCTGATTAAGGCTAGCCTTAAGCCAGCATGGTATCTTAAACTGGTTGACGTTCGTCTGAGAGCATGACGTCGCGCTTTAAGCTCGTTGCTGAAACCAGCAGGCATTGAACTGCCTGTTGTGCAACTAGTTCAGCAGTGGATCCATTATAACGCACACCTCACACCATGTAAGACAAATACATGTGCTATTCAGGTGGGTTGGGCCCTGCTGCACACGTGCAGAGCACTAGTGTCATTTGTGTTTAAGTTGTGAGAAACCACTTTCTCCCACTTTTCATGTTCCCAAACCTCTTCTCCTTTCCTGCGCATTTGTCATCCCTTTATGTTATTTAATGGGTAACTCTATACAAAGTTGTCTTGACATGGGATTAAGAGCTGCATGTTTTCTGAGGAGAAGAAACACTCTGGCTTTTCTTTTAGAAAGAAGTAGTATAAACACTCATACATCCCCTCAACCTCCTTCCCTTGACTGTGAATAGATGCTCTTAGGTTTTATTTGGTTTCACATCTTTGCAGCACACGGCCTTGGATTCTGGACAGACCGGTCAGCAGTGCACGAGGCTGCTGCACAAGGCAGGGCCTTCCAGTTGCAGCAGCTGATCGAGGGAGGTGCCGCAGTTAACATAGTGGCTGTGGACTCCATCACCCCCCTGCACGAGGCCTGTATACAGGGACAGGCCCAGTGTGTTAGACTGCTGCTGGATGCTGGCGCACAGGTGAGGAGGTTTTGTGGTGCTACCTGACTTCGGCACGTCACTAGAGAATCAAGCACAGTTGGTGGCTTAGGTGGTAGCTCAACATGGTGCATGTGTGCTGTCATTACGGCCCTGTCCTTTAGGTGGACGCTCGTAACATCGATGGTAGCACGCCGCTGTGTGATGCGTGTGCAGCTGGAAGTCTGGATTGCGTCAAGCTGCTGCTGGAGTATGGAGCAACTGTAAATCCTCCCCTGTTCACCTTCTCACCTCTTCATGAAGCCTGCATGGGAGGTGTGTGTTTTCCAACACAACATTGTGCATAATCATATTTTAAGCCATGTCAGTTGATTAAAATACACTATACTGCCAAATGTATTCAGTCACCCTTCAAAATCATTGAATTCAGGTGTTCCAATCACTTTCGTGGTCATAGGTGTATAAAATCAAGAAGCTAGGCATGCAGACTGCTTCTATAAACATTTGTGAAAGAATGGGTCACTCTCAGGAGCTCAGTGAATTTGAGTGTGGCACCCTGATAGGATGCCACCTGTGCAACAAGTTCAATCGTGAAATATCCTCGCTACCAAACATTCAGCAGTCAACTGTAGTGGTATAATAAATAAGTGGAAGCAACTCAGCCACAAAGTGGTAGGGCCCGTAAAAATCGCAGAGCAGGGTCAGCGGATGCTGAAGCGCATAGTGCGCAGAGGTCGGCAACTTTCTGCAGAGTCCATCACTATAGACCTCCAAATTTCATGTGTTCTTCAGATTAGCTCAAGAACATGGTGTAGAGAGCTTCATGCAATGGTTTTCGACCCCAGTTGGGTGTCGGCCCTACCTGTTGCGACATGACTGCGCACCAGTGCGCAAAGCAAGGTCCATAAAGACATGAATGAGCCAGTTTGGCGTGGAAGAACTTGACTGGTCTGTACAGAGTCCTGACCTCAACATGATAAAAGGCATTTGGGAAGAATTCGAGTGGAGACTGTGAGCCAGGATGTAACTCGAATTCAAATTGGGTGTGAAGGCAGATGAGCCAACACTTTTGGCAAGATGGTCTCTCTAGTGGAGAAACAGTGCAGCTGTATTGTAACAGAGACCGGTGGTGAATACAATGGGAATCAGTGTACCTAAAGCTGTAGCTCCACCTGCACAAATCCTCTCCATTGTATTTAAAACCAAAAACCAAAAAACTAGACGAGCAGGTTCGCCGACTCTCGCTGACCAGTGTTAAGACAGACGGTGATTGTGGGCGCAGCTTTGCAATGATGTAAATGTCTACGTGACTGAAACTGCATCCAGGGCCTGGGGCTTGGTGCTTGGTTTGTGACATACTCGTTTTACAATAATGACTACAAAAGTGACACAGAGATGTTTGTTTATTTATTTTTTTGTTCTTGTGGAATTTACTATGTTCCCGGTCCATCTGTCATAGAATCACCAAAGCTTCAGATAGCACACCACACAGCTCAAGTCAAAAAGATAACCGTATGCATGCACAGCTTCACCTGTTAAAGATATATAGTTCATATGGATCAGAATGACTGGAACATGTAGGACAAAATTATTTGGAAAGCAGTCCTGGGAAAAAAGTCTTTGTGCCGACCTTCAGGTTCTCTGTAGAAAGATGGAAGGATGCAGAACAAACCACTTACAGACTGTGTCACCTTGAGTTTCACAACTATTTTCAGCTTAATATTTATAAGAAAAAAAGTTCTTAAAGTCCAGCTGTGATTCTCTTAATGGCATTACACATGGTTACAAATGCATTGAGAGGGACACCGAAAAGGACTAATTCTTCTGATACTAATAATTATTGCTGCCAAAAATTCCAAATGTACCTACCTGCATCGCCAACATTTGCTCAACTGCAGAACTTTTTAGGTTTATACAACTGGAATTAGTTATTTTCTGTGTTTGTTTTTTTTGTAAATATCAGGGAATTCAGATTGTGTTCAGCTCATGATCAATCAAGGAGCTCACATGGAGGCCCATGACTGCCACTATGGGACACCGCTCCATGTAGCCTGTGCCAGGCAACATTATGACTGCGCCAAAGTTCTCCTCAACGCAGGTGAGTCCAGAAGCCTGTACCACAAAGCAGGATTTGAGCTTTTCAGGGAAATTTCAGGGTGGTTCACTTATTACCAGGTTATATCGCCATGCTAACTTAACCTGTGAACCTGAATTCTCTGAGAATAGCATCACATTAGTGAAAGATTCATCAATCAGACCTGTGTGCTCATATAGTAGGAGGGTCTAAATTTTGTAATTTTTACTTTATTTTATGGTATATCTTTTTTTGTTTCCCTGATGGATTCACAAAATCTAAAATGACTATAGATTATTGAATCCAACTTTATTTCTTGACATTTTTCCAGTTATTTCTAAGGTTCTGTAGCTTTAGCAGTAATATGTCGTTCTACAACAGAGCACCTCTTTGTAGTTATGGACTTTATATCACATTTGCACAGATTAAGCCAGCGTTTGGATTCTATTTTTATATTTATTCTTTACTCGCAGACCATTAAACACCACTGGGACTGCAACTCTCTCTTACACTTTAGTTTAATGAAATACGTTAATGTGACTAAGTCTTGGGCTATTCCTTATTTCTTTATATTTTTCTGCCAATTAGGCGGATATTCTTGTACTATCTTTTTGTAAAGTGGTCTTAAACAATAGTTCTCCAGGCTTGCCAAAGACCTTTCAAAGTGTTTCTTTGGATATTGGTTGCTTTTTCACTCATATTCAGCCCAGTCCTTGTGTCTGACCTTTTTTATGGGAATATTTTCTTGCTTAAACCACTGAACACTATGAATCATTCAAGCGTAAAAAAGACGACACAGTGTCCAGTTAGCCCTGAAAACTTTGGTATCTTTAAGGACTTTGTTACTGGCACATTTTTGGGTAAAACGAATCTGTGTCAAATGCTAAAGATAAAAGTTTGACAGACATAATATAGTATTTCGGATGTGAGAGATGCATCTGGCCTTTCAGGTGATCAATTTTTTCAAGTTGGGGGCAACAAGTCTTATGGAGTGATAATTCCAAATTGGTAATTTTTGGTTTGAATCATGAACATATACAGAGGAGGTCAGGAGAGAGGCATGACAGTGTCTACAACCATCTGTAAAACACGGTGGAGGCTGTGTCACGGTTTGGGTTTGCATTTCAGCCAGTGTTGTTGGAGATTGTTTTGAACTTGATGGATTTATCAATGCAATAAATTACCATCAGATTTTTAGCTCACACAGCTACTTTTTTGTTGTTGTTGTTGTTGTTGTTGTTGTTTTTTTAAACTTTAGTATAGTTGCCTCTCTGTAAAAATGAGCTGACTGGCTGCCTGTCCATAATAAGGTTCGTGTGACTGCATATCTTGTCGATATTAAGATTAAGCGAATTCAAATCACTGAAAAGGATCTCTGGCGTTTTCTCTGCGCACCACGGCTAATGAAATTTACAGTTATGATGTACTATTCAGTCATCATGGATTAGAGATAATTTAGTGTGATATGCTGTCTTATCTGTGCTAAGACTAATAAGCTGTTTTTAGAGCAGAAACAAAACATGCTGCATTACTTAGTAATGACAGCATTATTATAACCATGATATCATGGCTTGTTCCATAATAAAATCTCTTGTACATGTAACATGTTAATGGCATGTATGTAACTCTCAGTCTAAAACTTAAAATGGCATGGCATGCAGGGTACCGGCATTTTTAAACTTTTTCTGAATAAGACGAAAAATAATTTTCTGTACAGTCAAGTTTTACCTTCACAGCTTAACCACAAACAGGACACGTATTTCTAAACATCTAAACACAGGAAGTTGACTTCTCTTCATTGTTATGCGTAGCACTTTAGACTTTGAGCGTGGACCTCGTCTTTCAGTATCCTCTATTAATAATTGTATCAGTGGATCCATCCACAGTTTCACTGTTCCAACGTCTGTCAGTAGTAGCAGCTACAAGCATACCCCACTGGATCTGAAGCTTCCTCTCTTATCTGTACAGAGAGCTAGCTCAGTCTGTTTTTTTTATAATACATTTAGGCTAAAAAGGTCAGCAAACAACATTGATAGTAATGGACTCACTGAAAAGGACCTGCAGCCATTACCAGGATATATGTGTATATATATATATTTTTTTACTGTAATATTTGGTGTCAAATATATTTCTTGCTTTATAAAGTGATTATGATGTTTATAATTTCTATTAAAAACACAACCTTGGGCATCAGCAGCGCTTTCCTCTCTCTTAGAAGTTTGTTTTCCTTTTTGAAAGGGGCAAACGTGAATGCTGCCAAGCTCCACGAGACAGCTCTTCATCACGCAGCCAAGGCAAAAAACACAAATTTGATTGAGTTGCTTGTGGAGTTTGGGGGGAATGTGTACGCCACGGATAACCTGAACAAGAAACCTATCCACTACACCACTCTGGGATCCCCATCGTATCTCTGCCTCGAGTTCTTTGAGAGTGAGTATCCACCTAGAGTACATCCTGTTTATTTTAGTCCATCAAGAACACTAGTGACGCATAACTTGAGATGGCTTTTTCTGTCTTAGATAACCCCCTGAGTTTACAGCAGATCAGCAGGGTGGCAGTGAGGAGGATTCTCGGCACAAGAGCGCATAAAGTTGTTTCTAGGCTGGACTTGCCTAATCGTATCATAAGCTTCCTGTCTTACATTCCGGCTCCAGTCATTGAAATTTAATCGCTGGTTGCAACGGCTATTCCTGTGGCCCTTTCTTCTGAAAATCATGTGACAGGATGTTTGAGCTGACAGTGATACCACACAGATGTCTTAACATTTCCCAAACTAGATGGGTGTATAGATTTTTATTTTATTTTTTTCAGTTAAATACGATGACTTTTTGTCTAAGGAAACTGAAAATGGGATTTATTTTTTTTTTTAAGGTCATAGCTACAGCAACAAATTATTCTGACAAACGGAAAGAAAACCCTGCAGTATTTAGCCTTGACGTGTGACGTAGTTGGCAAACCTTAGCCTCTGCATCAAATGAATGTTAGGTCAAATGTTTTTTTTGTTTTTTTTTTAATGCCCTTTTCCTCTAATTTGCTCCACCCAATACCGAGAAAAATCTCCGCACCTTCTAGTGTTTAGGGCTTTGTTCCTTGGTAGGTTGTGCACAATTTAGGCAAGCAATTTGCTGCTCTGTGCGAAGACCGAAAGATTAATTTTTGCCTTTTAAGGCCATGCACAGCAAGTGTCAACCTTACACAGGGGGTTTCCATATTTTAGATGTCCTTTGAAAAGTGTGGTGGTGTGTGCCGACTTGTCTGGCACACTTCCGGTGTGTATTTGTTGCAACAGGCCAAGTTCCACCTTTTAATATCCATTATTAGTAGTTTTGATTTCATGTAGAGCCATCTTTCTTTGCAAGGACACTCAAAAGCCTGCCATCCATGGATTCTGTCAGTGTTTTGATCTGTTCACCATCAACATTGCGTGCAGCAGCAACCACAGCCTCCCAGACACTGTTCAGAGAGGTGTACTGTTTTCCCTCCTTGTAAATCTCACATTTGATGATGGACCACAGGTTCTCAATGGGGTTCAGATCAGGTGAACAAGGAGGCCATGTCATTAGTTTTTCTTCTTTTATACCTTTCTTGCCAGCCACGCTGTGGAGTACTTGGACGCGTGTGATGGAGCATTGTCCTGCATGAAAATCATGTTTTTCTTGAAGGATGCAGACTTCTTCCTGTACCACTGCTTGAAGAAGGTGTCTTCCAGAAACTGGCAGTAGGACTGGGAGTTGAGCTTGACTCCATCCTCAACCCGAAAAGGCCCCACAAGCTCATCTTTGATGATACCAGCCCAAACCAGTACTCCACCTCCACCTTGCTGGCGTCTGAGTCGGACTGGAGCTCTCTGCCTTTACCTGTGCCACGGGCCCACCTCTCTGGCATCCTCAGAGCTCACTCTCAAGGTTTGGAGGCCTATCTCCACCCACCACCACTTCCCCTGCCAGTGGCGGACTCCCTCAGGTGTCGGTGCGTTGGTGGTTCTTTGTGTCTGGGGGTGGGCGTCCGGGTACACACCGGCTCACTCCTTGGCGGCCGCTTATCGGGGCCTGGAGCCTGGGGCTCGCTCGGGCCACTTGGAGGTGGGGTGCCCCCGGCCTCTCGGCCTGGGGCTCGGTCACTAGGCACAGCTGGCTGCCGGCGGAGCTCACGGGCGCGTCACTGCAACTCCCCCTGGCTTCTGCTCCGCGGCTGCTGAGTGAGCCCTCATCTGGGACTCTCCTCAGCTCTTCTGGGACAGTGGCGCGGCTGCCCCTCTGTTGGTCTTCCTTGGTCTCTTGTGTTCTGGGGGCCTCTGGATGTCTGGAGTTTTGATCTCCTCCATACCTGCTTCATACCCTGGAGGACGGGGCTGTGGCTCCCCACACTCCCTAGCAGATCGTTACATGGAGAAACCTTTGGAATGCAAGCATGCTGATCCACACAGGTATGCACACAGGTGTACACAGGGTATTCACAGACGCGGACTACAGCTTTCTTGGCTGCTGCCTCAAAGCACATGTGCGCTGTCTATCTTGCGTGCTGCACAATATCGTTTATTATTTAGTATCTACTGATATCTACTGCTAGCTAGTTTATTGTGATGGTGCGTTTTTTTTATTATGTTGCTCTTTGTTGTTTGCTTTCTCTTCTGTTTTTTTTCTCCATACAGGTGTCCGTTTTTTTTTTTTTTTTGTTTTTTTTCTTTCTTCCCCCCCTTCTCACCGTCTCTTCTCCCCTTTGGTTTTCTTTCTCTCCCTCTCTTTCTTTCATTCTTTCTCCCTGTCCTATCCCCCAGTCATGTCTGTCCCGTTTGTAGCAACTGAAAATAAAATAAATTCATAATTATAATAAAGGTCAATCAAATGGACCAATATGGCAAGGCCATGATGATCCACTTGGTAAAATAAATCCGCTTGGCATCTTTCTTGGCCTTAAGACAACAATTCTGATGGCTAAAGATCCAAACGGGACACAAAAAAAAAAGAAAAAAAAAAAAATCACTCTCATTTCATCAGTCCATAAAACCTTAGAAAAATCAGTCTTGAGATATTTCTTGGCCCAGTCTTGACGTTTCAGCTTGTGTGTCTTGTTCAGTGGTGGTCGTCTTTCAGCCTTTCTTACCTTGGCCATGTCTCTGAGTATTGCACACCTTGTGCTTTTGGGCACTCCAGTGATGTTGCAGCTCTGAAATATGGCCAAACTGGTGGCAAGTGGCATCTTGGCAGCTGCACGCTTGACTTTTCTCAGTTCATGGGCAGTTATTTTGCGCCTTGGTTTTTCCACACGCTTCTTGCGACCCTGTTGACTATTTTGAATGAAACGCTTGATTGTTCGATGATCACGCTTCAGAAGCTTTGCAATTTTGAGACTGCTGCATCCCTCTGCAAGATATCTCACTATTTTTGACTTTTCTGAGCCTGTCAAGTCCTTCTTTTGACCCATTTTGCCAAAGGAAAGGACGTTGCCTAATAATTATGCACACCTGATATAGGGTGTTGATGTCATTAGACCACACCCCTTCTCATTACAGAGATGCACATCACCTAATATGCTTAATTGGTAGTAGGCTTTCGAGCCTATACAGCTTGGAGTAAGACAACATGCATGAAGAGGATGATGTGGACAAAATACTCATTTGCCTAATAATTCTGCACTCCCTGTATATAGATTGCATCTTTCAGTCACATAGCAGACTCAAGTACATC